ATATAGTGGAGCTGATTCTAATAGTGATTGTAAGTACTTCTCAAGTAAAACAAACTAGTGCTGCAATGACTGAAACATGGTAACAGTTTTTTCAATTTATGTTTCAGGCACTTCCAAAAAAGTTCACTCATCTAGAAGCAAAATGTTTCAAATTGGATTTACTGGTAAGAGATAGGAACTAATAGTGCATTATTGAGCACTGATATAAGTTATATTATTTGTTTTTTTGTACTTATTATAGTCAAGTAAACTAGTTCTATGGTTCATATTAATATTTGGTGTCACATATGATGAACTGTACATAATATAATTGATTTGGTGTCATAACCTATGTTGTTTCCAGTTAATATATAGATTTTAAGCTCATTCATTCTGTACATTGTTTCTTTCAGGAAATATGGATGCAACAACAACACCAACTAATGCAGTACAAACAACATGTTCTAATATAGGTGGAGAATTTGAAAATGTGCAAACACCACCAAATCAACTTTCACCAGCAACAGTTGCTAGTTGGATGTCCGAAATAGCTGTTGCATTCCGTTTGTTTCAGAGAGAAGATATCCTGAACTTAAATGCAAGAGGACTGGAAGCAGAGTTCACAGACTCACCTATTGAGAAAATTAAAGTAAGCAACGGTCCATTGGCAATTAATCATGTGCTTCTAGGTACTAATATGCTAAAAAGATCATCAGCCATGCTAGCTACATTATCAAATTGGGTACTACACAGCAAGCAAGAGGAAAATGAAGTGTAAGTATACTTCATGTAAAGAATGGCATATCCATAAAATAAATAATTATCAATAATACTCATATTTTCTGTACAACAGGTGTTGGATAATACATTACGAACCAAGGTACATCGAGGTCACAGGAAATGAATTGAAGGATACACTTGTACTCTTCAGAACATTCAGCTACGAAGTTTTTGATTTATGTATCAGGAGAATTGTTCAACTAGAAATGTTGATGTATGGCACTTCAAAGACGAAAAGGTGTAGGCATATACTGGAGTCCGACTTCGCTGTAAGTAATTTTTTTTACAGAGATTAACATTAGATTATTAATCATAATCATTTGTCTTGTCAAATTATATTTACGTAATGAAATTTCATAAAATGAATGCAGATGATGGTCCTAGCAAATGAGAATGTTATGTCCAGCCATTCGGTGCTGGACCAATTTAGGAAGATTGCAGTATTATATGATATATCCAAGTGCAGAAC